CCAAGAAATAAGGAAATCAAGTTTAAAGCACAAAGCTGGTAGGATAGCTATATCAATAAATAAATATATATATATAAACGAAGTGTCGGTTAGTTAGTCAGTCGGTAACGCTCAATTTCTCTAAATTTCGTGAGTTACACGAATCCAATTCCACGTTTTCTCCTGCAATACTTCTTCTTTTGATTGCTCTTTCCCATTTTAGTTGAATTTAATCGCTAACATAGACGTAAATAGCTCCTAAATGTCGGCGTTTTTTCTGCTATATGAAAGCCTGTCATGAAGGGAATTCACAGGATCAGATTAGGCATGGCGTTATGTGTGTGGTTGAAATACACTCTTCTTTTCCTTGAAAAATCCCTAGGAACTGAATGATGAATGTAGTGTTAAAAACATAATATGTTTAATACTAAAGTCTTATGGCAAGTACAACATCGGACAATTCTATGTGTTATTCGATAAAACTAAAGTTAAAATTTGAAACGCAGTACTACATTAAACTTCAAACATTCTATCACTTTACCTCTCTGTAAGTGGTTTCTCGTATTGTATGTGGAAATTATGAGCTTCAACTTAAAACAAAGAATTAGCAGACTCTTTTAGAAAACAATGAATGTTTTGGTATTTCTAGACCAGGTTTGAGTGGTGTACGTTCTATGTTTCTATATACCTGAATGATAGATGACTGTAAAAATTAATTATGTAATGAGTCGAATTAAGTATCTAAACTTACAAAAACGAAACTTGAAGAATTATCAGATGCTTTGGTATTATTAGTCCACACGGATCTGGTTATAAACTCAAAATATGTTAATATACAACGCCATTAACTCTTCTGTACCATGGCGTGCGCCATTATTAGTTTGAATCGTAAAATTAATAGCTGCTGATTTCTTTATTGTGCTTGAAACAATTGGTTTATTTAACTTGCATTGTTACCAATGTCAACTTGTCTTTAATGAACAAAACATCGATCCCGTTTACGTTAATCAATTTTAAGCAAGTTTGTTTTTATAAAGAGATTATGAACATTTACAAGGCTTTTCTGTGTATTGTTCAGTAGTAGAGAGATTAAGAACTCCTGTAAGAAATACATAATTAGCCTCGAGGCTGAGGTAGTCCGCGAAGGATTTATCCTGTAGAACAAGACACATTCTAGCGTTAACCAATTACGTGTAGAAGAAAGTCCACGTTTACATTAACAGCCATTGTGGAAATAAATAGGTTATCGTTACAAAAGCAGGTAGAAATATTTTATAGACAGAGATAGTTCTATACACGAAAAGTGTTTATTAAAATAATCAAATATGCAATGAAAAATTGCTAATTACCTTTCTTCGCTAAAAAGTCAATTTCAGTTTTATTTAAGTAGTTGTATTTAGAAATAAACGTGTTCTAATTAGAAGTGGTATTAACACGTAAAAGCGTTTTGTTGGATAATATGATTAAGGTATTCTATTTACGTAATTCGATTTACCTGTAAAATGTTTTATTTAAAAAACTAGATCTGCACATAATTTTGTTTACTTAGATAACTGAATATCTGATCAACTAGAATTTTTAGGTCTACTTTATAATATACCATTTTCAGACTAACTTGTTATAGAAGTTAAAATTCCTCGCAATTTTCTTTCCCTGTATTTTTGTAATAACAGAAAGTGACGTTAAACACATAAAAGAACAGTTTACTTTTAGATGAATCCTGGAATCAAAGTCTGTAATTTGACTAGCAGAATTATCATATTTTTTATAACACATCCACTCGTAACAATTCACATGTCAATGGCTTACCATTCATTATACAGTCTACTTGGGGGGGGGGGGGGATATTTAGTACTAGAAGAAACCTACAAAACATTTGCAGTCAAATTAATACATCTTTATTGCTTCTTTAAATACAGGATTTCTGGAATAATACAAATGTATTCTAATCGCAGACACCGAAATCTATAAGTCCACTTGTCTTATGCCTAACATTAGTTAAGCCTTTATAATTAGATACGGTATATATTCGATAAAGATATAAATGAACACCATACATTGAGTTCGTTTTTTGCTTTAGTTTAGTTAGGGCTAACCCTTACTGTACTTAATACTATCAGTAAATGAACTTATAATGTTATTCCACGACTTAATAGACCTTTTTAAAACTTTGATAGGCTTTTGATATGTTGTTTCACAAAATGTCTATTAAAGTATATTTACATCCGTTGACATGACGTGCGTGCTAATTCGCATTAAGATAGTAATATGCGCTCGCATTTTTAGGAGATACAATAACTGAATATTATTTTAATGGATAAATGTTGGAGTTATAAATCTTTAAATGTTGCAAAATAAAAAGAAAATATAGAGTTTACCTTCGTTTTCACGTGGCATTCATAGATGAGTGGAAATTCTGTAACAGATTGACAGTAAGCATCTAAACTGATAAAAACAAAACCTGAATAACTACCAGGAGCTTTTACAAAACAAGGAATTTCTTGGTATTTCTAGATCAGTTCTTCGTGGTATAAAATAGCTATATTTTACAAACTGTTTGGGTTTTGCTTCTTAATCAGGGATTTGTAGCTATGGGTTGGACTAAACGTCGGCTTTGATAGATGATGTTCTTCCCACTTCCATTTGGTTTCTGATAACTAGCAGATCGGGACGCTGATAATAGAGAAACCCTCACTATGAGGATAGTTTAAGTACTGTTCCATTACCCTGCCTCATACACCCTACTACCCTGAGAGGATTTTATTACTCTTTGCCTAATTAAAGTCGTGAGTTCTTAGATGATTGTATAAACGAACTAATCGTTCTCTTGATTTGGATCGTTCAACATCTTGTTGATATTGAAACAGTGAAACATTCAGTTGTTCAAACCTTAGAATATCATACAAACATCCTACCCAGATTGTGTTTTATTTTTTACTAAGGTCTTTGGCCTTCCAAATGACGTGAGTCGCTGAATATGTGCAACTGTAACTCTTAAAAAAATCACATTAGAGCTTCGATAGTTACATCTGGGGATTAAATTATTATCATTACAATAGCAGGTAGAAATATTTTGTAGACAGAGATAGTTCTACACACGAAAAGTGTTTATTAAAATATTCAGATGCATAAACATTCAGATACACAAAATCAAAGATTCACAAACTTACAGACACATTGACACAGAAACACAGAGGCACACAGGGGTACACAGGAACACAAGTATATAAATACAGGTACACGTACAGAAACAGAGGCATGCACAGGTACACAGAAACATAGAAACACAAATATACACATACAGGAACACTTACAGACACATTGACACAGAGGCACACAGCTACAGAGATACACAGACACACAACAGATCGCAAAGATACTGATAAACAGATAAACGAATACACAAAAATACGAATGCACAAACACACGTCACAGAGACATGTAAGCATGCAGATGCATACATACGTAGACGAAAAGATACACAAACATACATATACACAGGCATATCGATAGCCAGACGTACAAGTACACAGTGATACATAAACATATAGATGCAAAGATACACCGGCAAATAGACACTGCAATATCAGACACATATACACAGATGTGTACATACGACTGAACACTTCACTTCGTACTTCTTAATATTCTTTGAAGTAAATTTGTTATTTAATGCATATTTCACGTCAACAAATTAGGTAACAACTTCGAAAGATTGTTACAGTTGTGACAATGTTGTTATATTATTATTAAAACTGTGCTATATTAGACTGCAAATATACACTTATTGAAAAAAATTATTTTTACTCTGGAACACTTGTAAAATATTCCGATAATACACTCTAATTTTACTTCGCAATTAGTTCACAATATATTATCAGTGTCCAGACCAATTTTTACGGACTTTTATTTAACTGTGAATATAGTTTATTCATTAATGGATAACTAAATCTATGTTTCTGACCATTTTGTATTAATACTAGTGTTAAATTACCTCATTGATATAACTTTATTATAAATAACTAACTCTGTTCATTTCTTGTTAGTTCCTATGTTTAGTCAATGATATCTATATTAGTGAAGAACTAAAACATAACTCTGATCATTTAGTGTTAGTTCTAGTTTTAAGTCAGTGATATCTATATTAATGAATGATTAAAACATAACTCTAACTAACTCTCATGGTTGATCAGTGATATATATATATATATATTTGTGAATAACCAAATACCTTTCGCTGCCCTTTTATATTAGTTCCCATGTTTAATCAATGATATCTATATTAGCGATTAACTAAATACCTAGCTCTGATCATTTAGTGTTAGTTCTTGTTTTAAGTCAGAGATATCTATATTAGCGATTGACTAAACACCTAGCTCTGAATTTTCTAAGTTTGCTTCAATGTTAATAAACTGTCTAATATCGTTGGATTAAAGAATAAGTGAACACATATCATCCGCTTAGTTTCTAGTCTCAAACCAACACTGTAATATATCTGAATTATTGAATAACCAAGAGTATATTTTTGAATTTTGTGTTTATACCAACTGTTATATAACACTCCGAATACTTTTAGTACTTCTCGAAGCATCATTATTTGAATAACTTTTTATTAAATACTCATTCTTGCACATCCTATTTCTACTGTCATCATTAAAAATTATAAACCTAGACTGGAATATAATAATATGAAGCTCATGAGTTTGTCGGGTCGATAACAAAGATATTTAAAACAAAATAAAATGTCGCTTTGTAAGGTCTGAATTTAACTAATTTTGGAGCACTGAAAAAAACTAACAACTTGTATAGTAAGCTTAAGCAAGAACAAGAATCATGAACGCTTGTACAGAAGAACGATGATATATATATTATGTTTGCTCGAATAAACATGAATTTATAAATTAATAAAAAATGTTTAATTATATTTTCCTTGAGGCAGGACTCATTATGGGATGTTCAAATTGTGGCGGGATTAAAATCTTGAAGTTTCTTGATTTCTTATTTCTATTTTTATATATCAGAGTGGATAGGAGCGATGTCGATGTCTTGCGCGTTTCTGGTGGCTCCCGTGGCTGTCGCTGTATGCCGAAGAAAAAGTATCAGGCTCACAGCAGTAGTTGGTGGGATGGTGACTGCTCTTGGGTGCCTATTTACCTCATTTGCCTCTCAGATGCACCACATATTTGTCAGCTACAGTATATTTATGAGTTGTGGACTCGGAATTGCTAGAGAAACCTCAAGTCTTATGATTGGACAATACTTCAAGCGCAAGCGCGAGTTTGTGGAGGTGTTTGTCCAGTCGGGTACTGGACTAGGAATCGCTATTATGTCTGTACTACTGAAAGACCTTATTAAGTGAGTATAGACATATTTTATATCTCTCTGAAATAGCTAATGCAGGTTTTAGCATTACGGGTCCTCTACTTTGTCTAATTATCAGTAATTTTATCATCATATCATTTACACTATTTTATTATAAACTAGTCTTAGTGTTGTTCTAACACTATTGTTACTCCTAACAATGTACCTTGAACCTTGTAAATCATGCTTAACCTATTTACTTGGAACTCTGGACATTATAATAACAAACAAGTTAAAATCACATTGTAAATATTAATAGCTGGCAGTTTCACGGTCGCTTTCAACGTCTTCAAATGACATTGAGAAATACGATATTTTTGGCCGAAACTTCTGGCACTTGGTTTGAAATGTGTTTTTAACGAGGTTTTATATGAGTGAGCCCACAAGTTTAATTAAGCACTTGAAAAGACAATTAATTCAAAACTTTTAGGATATAAAAGTCGTTTTTAGATTAATAGCAGTCTTTGTTGTTTTACAATTCAACACGCTGAATACAACTTTGATGCCTACTTAATTATATTTCCCTAATCTAGCTTATAACTTCATACGTTAACGACTGAAAAAGACGTTCACCATTAACATGTAGATGTGTAGGAACAATATTACAAAAGAAAATGCTAAGATGTTTGTGTTTTATTTAACAAAATATACAAGAATGTACACAACATACGTTAGTAAACGAGAAATGACATTAAAGCATTCTGGTATACTATAATAAAAACTGAATCATAATGTAAATCATGGTTTAATTCGGAATATTGTCTCATAGTTCGTTTCACAAGCTTAATGTATAGCATGTATACACATGCAGCGTATCAAGCAAGTGAAAAACAGCCTAGGAATAAATTTCAATTCTACAAGCTCTGACTAAACGTGGTGCACGATGAAGTTCTATAGAATACTTCTTGACTAAACGAGGTGCACGATGAAGTTTTATAGAATACTTCTTGACTAAACGTGGTGCACGATAATTTTTATATAATATTTATAGACTAAACGTGATGCACGATAAGTTTTATAGAATATTTATCGACTAAACGTGGTGGACGATGAAGTTTTATAGAATATTTCTTGACTAAACGTGCTGCACGATGAAGTTTTATAGAATATTTCTTGACTAAACGTGCTGCACGAAGTTTAATAGAATATTTCTTGACTTAAAAGAGCAGAGAGGTGTAATCAAATATGGCTAATGAGTCATGTTATCTTTAAAAGTTTTTCTCTCTTGTTATCAACAAGCTAACTGCAGTATTTATATTTGATTAACCTTTGTTGAATTTTATAAAACCAGTCCTTCTTTCCAGAACCTATTCCTGTTCCTTATTTCTCTTGAGACAACTTATATTTATATTTACTTATATGTTTATTACAGTCGTAAAGTTGCATGTTCTTGTATGTGAGTTTGAAGCAATCTATTAGTGGAGTCATCGTAGTCCAAAAACGTTTATGAAATTTATACTCATATACAACTATTACAACACATAAAGTCTTGGCTATAGATGTTCGATCTTTAAAACCTGGAAAAAATGTTGTAATCTACTTTCACCTTTAAAGATAAATCTTAATTTAACTTGTGGGAACATCTTACATAGTTGAGTGCTTACTAATTTAAATTGTTGTTTACCTGTATGCAGTGTTACTAATACAATGTTTAGAAACATCCTTATTCGGCTGTTTCAGAATTTTTATATCATTTCTGTAGTAATGACTAATGTAATTTATAATTATTTGCGAAAAGGAATTTTTAGTTAAGCACTTTTGACATTTTTTTAGTTCTTTATAAAAAAAAACTGGTATAAACTGTCAAAATTAAAATATAAGCCTGTAAATGATCTTTGTTTAAAATGTTATTTATGTTATTAGTAAAGGTGTCAACAGTTAGAATCCGATGATCTTCATGATGTTCAACTGTGAAGTTAATATCAAATGTGATTGTTTAGATAATTCAAAAATTAGCCACAGATTAAAAATAATTAAACCTTCTATAATACATTGGGTTAGAAAGGCATTCATTAAGCTAGTGACTTTCGTTGTAACAAAGAGAAAGCTAGAAGGGCACTGGTTTAATCTAGATACCATAACTATACCGTCTATTTATTTATTCAGTTACTATGGAATAAAAAATACGAATTCTTGATGGCGAATTTCTTGAGTGTCTGAAACATGTGGTTGATATAATTTCGTTACTTTTATTTTGATATTGCTACGTATTAGAATTTCGAATAGTCCGAAACAGAGTTAACTGATAATTTAAATTTAGTTGTTAAATTGTACTTTGGATTTAGTATTTAAATACATGCCGATATTTTACTCAATTTTCAACAAGATTGATACACACTGTTTTCGTTTTTAATACAAATACGTTTTAATATACACACAACAATACAATTTACAATAATAGTTACTACAAACAATGATTTATAAACAGAAGTTTCACAAACTTACAAACAATATAAAGTTTTCTTTCTAGTCTGGAACCTCCCTGATATCTTATCGAGAGTTTACGATGAGCGAGTTAACTATTGGTTACGATTCGTTTAACAAAAAAGGAAGCTAGCTAGCCCTGTAGTTCTCGCTGATCATACACCTATTAGAGATTGAGTTTCCACTGATGACGTTAGGTTATTTACCGTTATTTATAGGTCACTCACGCTGAGCTCTCCACGATGAATTTATATAATGTTTTCGTAAAAATACTAATTTCCGATGAAAATCCACTGAAGTTAAATAGTTTGTAATGGTCGAACTTTGTAAAGATTCCTGGTCAAATATCTT